TGAAAGTGCTCACTGACAAAGGATTATGTTTTAGTGTAGTCAGTTATAACCACAACAACAAAAATCTGCACCATTACGATATTAAAACAACCTATTGATGGTAAAATTATGACTAAACAAAATTTCATTAAAATAAAAATGCATTATGCTCTTTGTTCTGCTTTATTCGAATACTTGAATCCTAGGCATACAGCCATATACAAAAGTTTGAATTGAAGTGAGAAGTCAAAACATGCTTTACAGGGAACAAGCTTAAATATGGCGTTTGTTGGTAAATTTTAGTGCATGTTTTTGTTTATTTGCCGAGTTGAATGTATTGTGGGGGAAAAATAAAATACAAGTATAAAATGTGCCAAAACATTTGCACAGGCAACATTTGCTTTCCCCCCCCCAGAAGTGTTTTCTCTATAGAGCTGATGTGTCAAACGCAAGGCCCGCGGGCCAAGTACGGCCTGTGGCACGTTCCGGTTCAGCCTGCAAAATTATTTAAATTTTCTATTAATATTAGCCCATTACACCATGAGCTGCACTACAGTTCCCAGCATGCACTGCAGCATTATTAGTGCTTCCACCCCCTCCCAACAATGATCTATGGGACTGTACCACAAAAACAGAACAAAAAAAAGATGCCAAGCAAATGGGCAGTTTTAAAAAACCTACTGTAGATTGTGGACATTTAAATAGGTCTAACAATGAACAGTTAATTACTGTTATTAACAGTAGTTGTTTTATATAAAACAATTTGTTTTTATTTAAAATGATTTTTGAATCATTCAAGTATTCAGTGCCTATTTTTTGCCATTGTAGTTTTGGCATATTTTGAAAAAACAATGGCCAGTTCAAGTCATGGCAAAATGTTGATTAAAAATAAAATAACACAGCTAGCCTGCGGATTTGTTGAGATTTTTTTAATATGGCCCTTCTAGTGCTTGAGTTTGACGCCCCTGCTATACAGGGTAATTAACTTGCGTTCCCTTAGAAACTAACTAAAAATATGTAACTTGACCAGGGGTGCTCAAACTTATGCATACGGCTGTACGTGGTAATCAGAGTAGTACCCGTCACTGCCAGAGAGCCTGACAGAAGAACGTCATGACAAAAAAGCTAATTTAGTAGTTTAAATACTGCTGAGGTTAAATAATAGCCATCATTAATTGAAGCTTTTAAAGTGCAATTCTATTGATTTTTTTTATTTATTTTTTTTTATTTTACTGTAATTCAATGTTTGAGATGTAAACAAAGTCATTCAGAGTGGTTTGATGTGAAATGGTTCTTGGTAGAGAACCTTACTGACTCAGATTACTTACAGTGCTGTTGGTGGGAACCAGGGGTCACCATGTCTACAACATGAAAATAGTCATTTTATTTGCTTTCTAAAACCACCAATGAACATTATCAACATTACTCAGATAATGTAAAATAGTGGTAAATCTGGAAAAAAAAAATATTGCAGATTACTGTGCATGCACCCATTTTGCCTAGAGTGCGTTTTAGGAAAGAAACCTCACCCTCAGAGCTATTGTAAAACAGTGTCTTATGCATCAGGCAGTGTGTTCATGACTGTTTTGTGTAAAAGCTTTTAGGTAGTTTTTAGAAGCATAAAACTGTTATTGAAATAAACTAAATTATCTGGTTGCTGCCACCAACATTTGTGACCAATTCTGCCTCTTTAGAATGGCGCATTTCACATTAAACTTCTGAATGGCTGTTTACATTGGAGTGATTTAATTAAGAAACTTTTAAAAATCTGTGAAACTTGTTCCTCACTCTTACACATCTTGTTTTGGACCCAGATTTTTCTGTAAAGCTGCTTTGTGACAACAACTGTTGCAAAAAGCATTACATACATAAACTTTGACTTGACTTGTGTACAAAAGTGGTTTTTAACAGAACCATCTATTGAAAGGTTCTTTAGAGAACAAAGTGTTTTTATGTAATAAATCCAAAAGGTCCAAGAAATATCAGATTGGTGCCATCACTGGTCATTTTTTTTGTCCACTTGCATACAGCACCACCTTTTATTTATTTATTTATTTATTTTCTAGTCAAAATGGCCAATAAGTGCAACTTATTCGTTTTTCAGTGTCAGAAAACACATTTAACAAAAACTTAAACAAAAGACTCAACAGCTTAGTGTATGTGTGTCCACACTTCTTCTAAGAAATCTGCAGGGATATTTTTCCACACATTCAAAGTCAGTCTTACAGTCCAAGTAATCCCAATTACAAATTCAATGATGTTGAATTCTGGACTCTGGGATGGTCGGTCCATTGTTCTGAGACCCCCAGCAGCTTCTTCGTTTGATCTTTATTTTGTCTGTCTCCTTTTCTCAGTGAGGGCTTCTTGACAGCTACAGCTATCCTTTTAGACCCATAGCGTTGAATTGTCTTCACTCAGTGGAAGGATAGACAGAATCATCTGTGAATTTTTTTTTTTTTTTAAAGAACTGAATCGAGAGTGGAGCTTGGTTTTCGCCTCTCTTGCAAAGATAACAGTTATGCTTATCTGATGGAGAGAGTTTTGGTGTCTACCAGATCTTGCATGTTTGTTAGGAGCCCCATTTTTTATGTATCTTTGAAGCAGTTTTTGAACTCCAGTCAGGAGGAAACTTTTTCCCTTTTTTCCTCTCTCTTCCTTTCTTCCTTATGCAAGTGTATTATTTTATCTTATTCCTCAGAAATGTCTCCTGAAGAATGAATAACTTGTACTTAACGGTCACTTTAACATGAAATTAAGTAGTTTGCACAGTACTATATGCCTGCCAAAGAGGGCTAAACCTTTTCAACCTGTTTTAGAGTAATAAAGAAGAGCACATCTTGAAGAGGGGTAGGTTGATGGGGCTAAAATAAGCAAAGAACATTTGACTCTTTTTAGGCTATTTTTGACCTTAGACAAAGATTGAATCATTTCAGAACGTTCTGAAGTGTATTTCAGTGTCTGAGTTCTCGAGAATGGTGATGGAGGAGGTTTCAGAACTGAGTAGTTACTTTTCTTCCCAGGTCAAGTGTGTGTGAGAATGTGCGAGTGTGATGCGGTCAGCTTTTTATCTGCGCAGTTATCCTGATGAGGTATGTGTGCGTGTTCATCTTATTGAACGCATCTGCATGAGGATGCTATTATGCCATTGGTGCACAGTCAGTGTGTAACTGCTGTTGACGCGGGCACAGTTAACACTTTCCTGGCCAGAGCGCCGGTGGCTCAGAGAGAGATGACTGGCTGTGGGTCTGAAAACTGACTCTGCAGTACTGGTATGACACACCAGGCAGAAAGCCCAGTTACCTTAGAGGGAAATGCTCTCTTTCACTCTTTCTCTCTCATCCTTTCCCGTGTTCTTGCTTGTCACTTTTGTCTATGTAGCTCATGACTCATGAATTTCAGTAAGTGAACGAAACTAACACGGTACATCAAACAAGAGCTGACCATGTGTTTTTATATATATATATATATATATATATATATGTAAAAAACGGTGGGAACCTCCTAAAACACTCTGTTTTAAGAGTGTCCTCAAAACCTTGTCTATTTATTTATTTATTTATTTATTGGTATTCGATAGTGTCAGCTACACTTTATATTGTATGAACATTTAACGATGAATTGAAAGATGGTACAGATGGTACAGTTGAAGTTAAAAATTCTTTCCCTTCTTCTAAAAAGTTACTTTTTCAGAGATACAAGTAGATTATAGCGATGTAGTCAAGAGACCACCCTTCATTTATTTAATTTCCAGTCAAAGCCATGTATATCTACAAGTTATTCGTTTTTCAGCCTCAGGAAAATAAGCACAAAACATTCGGTTTCGATTTACCAAGAAATCTGCAGACATATTTTCCATGCTTCTTGTAAACACTTTCAAAATTCAGTCTAGAAGTTGGTTGGTTCTCACAATCCAGTTGATCCCAAACACGTTCAGTGATGTTGAGGTCTATGCTCTGGGGTCTGTCCATTGTCCTGAGAACTCCAGTAGCTTCATTTAGTCAGGGCTTTTTGGCAGCTACACATCCCTTCAGACTGGATGAAGACAGTGGAAGGATGGAAACACCTGTGGATTTTTTTTTCAGATCTGAAGCAGCTTGATTTTCTTCTCTCTCAAAGATAAAAGCTTTTACTGTTTAACTGATGGGAACAGTTTTGGTGGTCTACCAGGTCTTGCACTGTTCTTAGGAGTCCCATTTTCTCTGTAGCTTTTAATCATTTTTTGACCACCAGTTTTGGAAACTCCCCTGTTTTCCTTAGGCTGTCCCCTTCTTTGTGCAAATGGATTAGCTTTTATGCAGTCTCCTGAAGTATATTCTGAAAAATGAATAACTTGTACTTAATGACTATTTTGACAGGAAATTAAATAAATCATGGGTGAGCTTTGACTGCACAGTACTAATAATTAAGAGCACAAACATTGATTTATAAATTTGCTGATTAGTTGTATCCAGTCATTTGTGCCTCTTTCATAATGGAGTCTATTAATGAATTGACACTTATACATCCATTTATGTCTCATCTGAGTATTATGGTACACATTGGGTGGTGTGCTCAAATATATAGGAAGATTCACTATCATCCTTTTTCCTGTCAAAACAGCCATTTTATTAAGTCTCAGCAAATGCCTGTGCACAGCTTTGATAGTTTTTTGTTGCTGTTTATTCCAAGGCTACTGAATAAGTTGCTACTCATTATGTGTCTCTTAATTATGTCATTCATCGTTATGATGAGATGTTGTGAAGAATGACTCAAAACATAGAAAGAACTGCTTTTCTGATGTCTCACCGTTCCTGTGAAGGCTGGGAGAACTCAAGTACTTTCCATTGTTTTCCCCCCTTTTATTTTGTCGTCCTGTTCTAATCTAACAACAGTTCTTGTTGTCTTCCAGATTGTACCACCATAAGGTGGTTCCCCCTTAATACCCTGGTAGTGAGAGAAATTAGTGTTAAGACTGGGCATCGAATGATGCTCTTCAGGTTTTGTATGGGTCTGTTGACGTGTATTGTTTTTCTCTGATGTAGCTAAACCCCGTGAGGCTCCTGAGAGTCGTCTGGAATCCGAGGTAGTTCCTAAGGTCGCTCGAATGACTGTCTCTGGCAAGAAGCAGACCATGGGCTTTGATGTGCCAAGGTAGGCCTGTTGTGCTTCAGTTCAAAAGCCCATATCCTACATTTTTCTGAGGTCCTCTTATGTAGTTTTATGTATGTAAAACAGTTGCCATTAACTTTTTTAACATGCCCTCTCTTTATTCCTTAAAATAGGCTATCTTAGTTACTATGCCTCCACATCTGATGTATGTAAATGATCCCTGTTCTGATTGGCTGCCCCCTATTGTGCTTCATTATAAAAACAAAGCAGTCTGGCCTGAAATACTCCTTATAACTTCAGCGTTGATGGCCGGATCTGGACTGCATAACACCTTAATAGTCCAGGTTTATTTCATGCAAGGGCTTATTATTCAGTAACTACAGAGACTTCAATGCAAACTAATGGAACAATTCTTAGTTTATAGAAGTGTGTAATAAAACTTGGCTTGTTAAGAGGTTAAGTGTGAATACGGCTGAATAAGCATGTCGATTTGTGACGGCACAAAAACAATTAATTCAAAATGGGCCAGGTAACTTTCTGTATATAGACTGGAGTTTGACAGGTACATTTGAATGATGTTTACATACTACATCAGACTTCAGTAAAAGCAAGGAAGATGTTTTCAGTAATATGGGCCCTTCAAATAAGCTTGCACATCATAATTTGTATATTGTTTAACATACAAAAAAAAAGTCATTACTCATTGACAAGCTGCTTTAGTCATTTTTGGTAACCCAAAGTTTTATAATTATTTATTTTTTTATTATTTAAGATAACTTAGGTGGCTCACAGTTTGGAGGCAGTTACAGCATGTGCATTAATTAATGGTATTTGACCTCAACTTCATATACTTATTTTCTCACAGACAGACAAAGAACCATAATATACTTTTAAAATTCATCAGAACTTTCATATTTAGTCTGAGGAATGAGAGTGAAATGTAAGCAGGACAACATGTTTGTCTGCTCACTTTGCATTCTGGGACAGTATTAAAACCGCAGGAGTGGCTGCTGCCTATAGATTATTCAGATGAGCACACACAGTCGCGCACAAACCCGCAGGCTATCACCTCCACACCTTAAACCACAGACCACACCCATAGGGGAAAAGTAGGGGGTGTGAAGAGTGTTGGGGTTTTGCAGGTGGATGTACTTTAATATGTACACTCACATAAAACAGTCATACTGTAGAACATTCTATTGAATATTTAATAGCAGTCTTGAGCTGTGATAGTTTAACAGGAAAAGGCAGTAGTGTTGAAAAGAAACCTCAAGTTGAAGTTCATACACACTGCAAAAATTGGTATCTTGGCAAGTGAAATTATCTTAAATCTGGTTGATATATCTAATCTCTCTTTTTGAGATTGTTGTATGTTTATTATGAGATTACGTAACCAATTAGTTTTATTTATTGCTTGTTTTAAGTGGTTTTAGTAAGTCAAATCATCTTATATTTTGTTTGTTGTGAGAAATAAGCTTGAAACAAGCACACTTATCTGCCAATATAGTAAGAATTTGACTTACTAAGATTAATAAAAACAAGAAAAAATATCTAGAAATGTTAAATAATCTTATAATAAGCTTAGAACAGTCTCAAAATGAGAAATATTAGGTATATTGACTAGATTTGAGATTTAACAATGTCCCTAATGTTCCTGTTTCAGTGAGAAGGTATAGAAGAAATGTATTTCTTTTTTATAGAGTTTAAAAAGAACACTTTTTAAACAATTTATTAAAATCTACAAACAGTTAATTAATTATTTCCTGTTTTCTAGATTCTAAACATTTATCTATTCCCATTTGTGTCACCATTTCTGTGATTCTGAGTGGGGCATGTCTGCCTAAGCGACAGCTGATACTTCACTGACACATTCATGCTTTTATGACTGACAGATTTTAAAGGGCCCATATTATGAAAGTTTTTTTTCCTCACTTTTTTTTAATTAAGGGTTTGATGGGGCATGTAAACATTCTTAAATGTTCAAATTTTCAAAACCATGCACATATATGGAGACAAAGCTGCAAAAACAGCCTGCTGATTTCACTGTTTTCATGATGCCACAAAAGCCAATTCCTTTACATATATCCACCTACTCAGCCTACAGCAGTTTAGCCCCACCCTTTCACAATGAAGTTATAAGGAGTGTTTTCATCCTGGACTGCTTTCTGGATCAAGCATAATACAGGACAGCCAGTCAGAACTGAGGTACACATACATTTACGTATATCGGTGAGGAATATTAAACAAAAACAGCCTGTTTAAATGTAAGTGATAGAGATTAGTTGGAAAATGGTTGTGTACAAATGAATGATCATTGTTTTCAATCAAGAGAGAAGATAAAATACAAGAAAAAATGTAGGATATTAAGTTAGTCAAGAAGGCCACAGCCCTGCATCTAGAGCAGATTATGAATAGCATCTTTACTAGAGATAACACTTTTCTGATAACAATACCAAAACTTACAGCATCAGCCGATACCCATCCAATACTTTTTCTTAAAAAATTGCTAAGCTTTTTAGAGTTTTACTTAGGATGAGCATCTAAGAGTAGGCTATCATGCTCAGACACGATCAATCTACTACCCCACAGGAAGAAATACACAGCTTGCGCAGTGCGAGTGCTATTTCAGGATGGATTTCTTATAAGACTGGGTCACATTCTTTTTTTTTTTTCTTTCTCTATTGAGCATGTTGTGCTGATGTCGGCCTGATACCAATATTAGTTCTGTGCCATCTGTGCTATTTACAAATGTGAATAGCCTTGTTAACAATAAAGTTGCAGTTTAAGCACCACTTTAAGCATGATGCATAATGAAAAACTATTAAGTGCAAAAACATTAGTAAGAGCAATTAGTGTGTTTGCAAATCTAGGACAAGGTTACTAAGCCCTGATCTGAATCATTACAAAAGAAACAGAAACAGGGTTCTGAGATTAGTGTAAAAGGTTGGCTTTCACAAAAAGTATAAGGAGATGAGTGAGGTCATTTTGGTTAACATTTGCCCTCTAGGCCTGTGCTTGGTGACTAGGCCTGTCATAGTTATTAAGTAATCATGTAATCGTAGTTATTTGAGATAATTGCAATTATTGAAGCTAACCGCAGTCATTTTCCAGAGTCATTTTCCACATTCATTAGATTTCACAGTCATATTAGTAATAGTAATGCTTGTTGATTTATTAACATTTTTAGCATGTGTGCTGGCAGAATCAGTGTTTTTGCTTATGTTTCACCTATGTGAAGAACATGTAGGTTTGCTTAACTCCACACATAATTCTGTGTAACTATACATATTTGTGTGAACATGCACATTATTGATTCTACAGTAAAAGCAGTGTTACTAGGTGAATATAGCTAGCAAGTAAGGTGGCTTATCAGCTAATCTAGGCACTTGGGCCTTGTTTCTTAATAGTTGCAAGCAGTGAACAAACAAGGACAAAAAATCGCCGATCACATTCAACTGATAATTATCATCGGCTAAAATTTCGTGATAATAATAGCCCTATCGGTGACTGTGAAACAAGGTACCTTGGTAATAGCCTCTAGTGATGGTAAACTTGGTAAAATTGATCGTGGGTTTAAAATCCTGTTGTTCATTCACTGATTTATTTCACACAAGCCGCAGGAAGACACTAGTGCTGCCACATATAAACATAATTGAACTTTTAAACATGCCAGGTGAACAGATGGCTTACATTAATATTACAATTATTCTACCTAACATAGATGAGATTGTTGTAAAATGTGGCTGTTGAGCTGTGCTTGTTGAACCCGCTTGGTGCTGCAGGACATCCCACCTGTACAAAAAGCAGCCTCTGGTATGGTGTACATGTTAGAGCATTCTCAGAATACAGTGGCATGTTTCAGACAGCAGAAACATGACTTCAGTCTAGGGAAAAATGCATGAGTAAAAACGTCTAAGCTTGTACATCGGGTGATATGGTCTCAAGTTAAAAGGCTTTGGAGAAGGTGTCATCAGGCTAAACTTAAAGGGCAACATACTCTAGGATGGCGAAGTTTGTGTGATATTTGCAATTATTACTAAATTAATTATAGTTCCACGGCCAAATTAAAGATGACGGTATACTTCAACCACACTTTTTACTGAGCTGTGCTGTTATTGTGTTGTTGTCATCAATATTTCCAATTCTAATAGTGTTAATAATGTAAATTAGCTTCTCTAATAACCGCCTGTCTTTTACAGTGGAGGAACAATTTTACATCGAAAAATACAAAACTGAACCCTGAACTGTAGCTTTTAAAGTTCCATAAACACTGCCATATGTATCCAAAATCATCTCTAATGATGTGTTAAGGGAAGCAAATAATCTATCTAATCCTATAACAAAGGAAGGTAATATTAGATAAAGGTCATATGAGCAAAGATAACATTGGCTTTATTGTGTCCATTTACAGCTCTGATGAAAATGGCGTTACCCCATCTGCACGGAGAGGTCCAAGCCCAGAGGTGATGACAGTCCCTGTCTTGGAGACACCATCTAAACCTGCCAGTGTAGTAGAGGACTCAGTGACCCCTACTCCACCACGCTCAGCCAGCAAAAGCAAACAACAGCTGAACATCCGGGCAGAGCTAGAGCAAAGGCAGGGGGGGAAACCACTTCTCAACCTGGTTGTCATAGGCATGTACCCACGTGGCTCTCCATCCATATGTGTAGTCCATCCATTAATTTATCAATATATCAGTTATTTGTCATGTTGCACATAGTGTTTGGCAAAAAATCAGATGTACTCAGTTTAACCTTTTTCCCAGTTGTAGTCAATCAGCCAAGACGTTTTGCTGTAGCTACGAGGCTAATATTGCTAACAAGTAATAAAAGCTTACACCTCACCTCTGCCAGTTGAGCTAAGTGCATCTAAAAACCTTTAGTTGTTAACTAATCTCTGACTAACTTGCTTATGTGTTTTCTGACACTATATGTTTTCAATAAAATTGGACAAAACGGTTACATGTCTAAAATAGTGCTGGTAGTAGTTTTGTTCTTACATTTTGTAGAGTGTAGGTATAGATTTTTATAGATAGCAGTATGTCATACAGTGTCAGGAACTATATTAGCAAGTCTGTTTGGGATTACATTATAACTCACTATAACTCAAGTCTGTTTGGGATTACATTATAACTCACTATAACTCAAGTCTGTTTGGGATTACATTATAACTCAATGAAGATTTATGTGTACAGTTTGCATGAGTTGATTTGAAATAGCTACAAACAAGACTATGCAATGTTGGGGACCTCTCTGGTGGAAATGTGTAATTGCACGCAACATGGGGAGAAAAACATTTTGTAACATTGGTTGTGCTTCAGGTCTGTTTCCTGAGCAAATAAGTCTGATGTTTGTGAGAATGTTGAAAAAGTATTCAAATAGAACTCAGTCAAAACTTGCTGAAGGATGTGTCTTCCAAGGATGTAAGTGAATGATCTACTACTGTCATCAGATCTTAATCAGTGTAATGTTGACTTTGCATTTAAGTACTAAACATCAGACTCTCTTTGAGCCTGTGCGTGTGACGTTAATACATAAAAATCACATGATGTGGTCTGGAAAACTACAAAATCTGACCCGTCTCCTCTGACATTTAAGTTATTATTTCGGGCTTTACAGTTTGACCTTGCAGGGGGACTCAATAAGGCTCTATTTTCAATTTCTCCAGAAAATAAAAGTACATAGTGCAAGACTAACAACTTGATGCAATTTGAGGCCTCTGTGTAATGATTTAGGCATGCTTTTTGCGCAGTGCCATTTGGTGGGTTTAAGCTTCTGTCAGTTGATAACTACATTATCCTTGTAGCGCAAGTACAAATTATAGAAACAAACTTCAGGCACCAAAATGACTTTGGTGATCACCCACATCTTTAGTAAGGGGAAATTGTGACTTTTGCCAAACTATTTTCTTTTACCCTGCACCCGTCTCCCGCCCCCCTAACTTTCAGTGCAAGTTAAAGTGAAGAGTTTTTATTCCAAGCTCCATTTTGGAGCATTTTTACTGATCCGTTCATTATAAAATTTTCACACAATGTAAAAGGCAGCTGATATTTTCAAATTGAAAAGAAAAAAAAAGGCAAAATGGTAATTTTTTTTTGTTAAAACATTATCTTGTTCTACAAAATATTCAGTTTACCTAGAACAGTTGGTAAGCAACTAGTAATTGCTTCTAACATTTATTCTGCATGTATTCACGTAGGTCATGTGGATGCTGGTAAGAGCACTCTGATGGGTCATCTGTTATACTTGTTGGGGAATGTGAATAAACGGACCATGCACAAGTATGAGCAGGAGGCAAAGAAAGCTGGAAAGGCCTCTTTTGCCTATGCATGGGTACTGGACGAGACAGGAGAGGAGAGAGACAGGTCAGTTTGACAAATATGCATGTAATGTACTCTCGTGCAAAAAAAGGGCCAAGCCCAAAATATAATGTTTTTTCACTGATGGTCAGAGTCCATATTTAAATCCTATATTGAAAATTGGGTCTCACGTTGAAAACAAACTAGTTTGACAGTGTTTTTAACAGTTTGAAGTCATCAGTGCACAGTGGAAAAATATTGACTTCGATAAAGACTTTCTGCAACCCAGAAGACTTCAACATTAAAACAAATGCAAAGGAAAAATATCTCATAAGTTTTTTAATGATTTTTTTTGTTAAGATCATTAAAACTTAATGTTTTGCCATTTTGGGCTTGGCCCATTTTTTTTACTTTAATGTATATCCACAGTCATAGTGGGCAATATGGCCAGAAGTCCTTATCTTTGTTACGTGAGGATTAGTGGTAATCGTTAGTACTTGTAGAACATTGAACAGCTGCATGGATCACAAGAAATACATGTAGACCAGTTATGAAGAGTCTATGAACAAAAAAAGCTGTGTATAGTAATAGTGTCTGTTTGGATGTCAGCCCATTGTGATCATCATATTTGAATAAATTTCCTCCTATTTCTTCGGAAATATTTAATTTACAAACAAAAAAGGTCCGTTTTTCCTATTTCTTCAGAAATACTTAATTTACAAACAAAAAAGGTCCGTTTTTCATTGTTTTTTTTTTTTGTTTTTTTTATAGTGCTTTGTTAGTGCTTTTCACCGGTTCCAACTTGTTTGCAAAGCCCCAAATAACTGAGCCAAATACATGTCATAATACATATTGTGTACAATAAAAATGTCTTTAACTAATGTGATGCTACATTTTTGTCATATTGTGTGGTTTGTCCCACCTTCAACAGAACAGCTCTACCATATCTTGTTTATATTTTTAAATAAGTGGTCTTTCTTTCTCTCTCTTGGGCAGAGGTGTGACCATGGATGTAGGGATGACCAAGTTTGAGACCAACTCCAAAGTTGTGACTCTGATGGACGCGCCAGGACACAAAGATTTTATTCCCAACATGATCACTGGAGCGGCACAGGTACGAAAACGGTCCCCCACCTCAGCTGACCCCGCAGGCCTCATCGTGAGTACTGCGGTTTTTGCCAAGCGTTGATGCATATGCGGATGTTTTTGAGAAGGAGCTTAGTGACTCTGCAAAATTTGCTGCTGAAAGTCTCAATGAAAGCTATGCTTTGTGGGATTAGGGTGCCACTAGCTGCAGAGCTCTACATATGACTGTGTTCCTTGTGTTTGGGTTTGGGTACCGCTGTGCGAATGAATGAAATTACTCACATTCTACTGGCCGGATTCACTCATTTCCTTGTGAGTAACTGCTGACTAAGGTGTGTTTTGTAGAGAGAAAGTGGTTCTAAGCGTGTGGGCGTGTGGGTGTGTGGCTGTGTGTGCACCAAGAAGGGGGTTCAGCAGGGAGAAAGTGCGTGTGAGGACGGGTGTACGACTATGGTTAGGAGGGTGGGTGTCTGGGTGAGAGTTAAATCTGACTAATCTGATTGCCTTGAATGACTAGGCAATTTGCAGAGATTAAAAAAACAATTAAATTAATGATCATTAGTCCTATTTTTAACAATGAAGGTAGTTTTGTAAAATGAAAAATGCAAGACATATGGTAATTGATGCTCCCCGTGGAACCTGATTTGAGAAGCATTTCTCGAAATACTGAAATGCAAATGTGTGTGGTTGTGTCTTTTCTCAGATCATCTAACGAAGATTTTTGGAGAGACTCTTCGTTTGTATATTCAATTTTGGTAGATTTCTTGGTGAGATGCACAGACTGTGTTTCTTTTTGAGTGTATAAGCAGATTCATTTTGTGAATGCTATGATTAGGCAAATTAACCACCATCTGAATTGGGTTAAAACCCTTGTTTGCAGCTGTTGACTTTTAAAATCCCAAACATAATGTGAACTGATGAAAATAATCGTAATAAGAACTAATTAAGAAAAAACAACAAAACTGATAAGAATTCTGGGAGGCTTCTTCCAGCAGTATCATATTCATATTATAAAAGACTCTGAGTCTATGCTCTTTGAGTTTAAGAAATTTGACAGTTGTCAACTGATAATCATTTTGGTAAGTAAAGCACAGTGTAACAAACATTTTTAAGTCTAATGTTTGACCAATTAAAAGTACATCAGTCATTATTACTTGCACTCATTGGAATCCTTGGAGGCCTACTATGAGTTTTGACTGGTTTTATGTTTCAAAAACAATCATTTTCATTTCATTTTCATCAAGTTCATTTTAAAAGGGCCTATTCCCAACCTCTTTATCCTTTAGAATTAAACAAACTGATTGTGACTGTGCCTTAAAGGCTGATGTATGTAAATGACCTGTCTTCTGATTGGCTGTTGTATATTGTGCCTCATTCAAAAAGGAGACTAAGCTGAAACAAACTTTATAACTTCAGCGTAAATGGGTGGGACTAACATACTCAAAATTATTTTATTTTTCTGTTCGTGGACTGTATAGACAGAATGAATGGTACATTTTGAAACTTTTAGATTCTCGTGTTTATCGTAGTTGTAGTCTATTGGATAATTCAAACCCTCTAGAATGAATGAAAATGTTTGCAAACAAAGGGTCTTACTAAGCACAAAATGCACAAAAGTTGTTCAGTTTGGCTTTTAATATACATAAAGTCAACGATAATTTGGGAAAAGAACATGTTAGCCCAAAGATGTCTCTGGTTTTCGAAGCTAAGGCACCACCTGCTGTCTGCTTACTGTATTTACTATCTTTGGCCTAGGTCCCTTTGTAGAATTAACTGATTAACTGACCATTCTGGCATACTACAGTCAGCATTCAAGTCTCAAGCCTGAAAAATGGATTTAATGAGCTTAATTTAAGGAGAATAATCCAATTTCAATTGCATTTGTGTTACAGTTCAGACAAATTGCAAACAAAGCTTAGCTGGCTAAGCAAGAAGTCATACTTTGTGAGACAGACCCCTGGTGGTGGATGTGTGCGTAGAACTCTATATATGTGTGCGTCTGTCTTTGTAGGCAGATGTAGCCGTTCTGGTGGTGGATGCCAGTCGGGGGGAGTTTGAAGCTGGGTTTGAAGCAGGTGGGCAGACAAGAGAGCATGCCCTCCTAGTCCGATCGCTCGGCGTCACACAGCTCGCTGTTGCTGTCAACAAGATGGACCAGGTGGGTAACCATGGTGACCACAACGATGCATGATTACCATGGCAGTGTCAATCATACTCCAGTATGCCTCTGAGAACTCAGCCAGTGCCTTTCTCCCACCGCTTGTGCTTACTTATGTGTGTTTCTGTGTTTGATGAACTCAGGTGAACTGGCAGCAGGAGAGGTTCCAGGAAATCACCTCCAAACTTGGTCATTTTCTGAAGCTGGCTGGGTTCAAGGTAGCACCCCATGCGGTTCCATTGAGTTACAGTTGTTGTGGTGTCAGCATGTGGTTTGTTTTTTAGGCCACAAAGATTATCAGCTCGTTTGCACACATCACGCTGAATGTTAATTTGTGTGTGTCCACCTCAAATAAGCTTAGCACTGATTTTATCTTGTGAATGATTCATTTTATACCAGTGTAGTTCAGAAAACCTCCTGTTCTTAAATGACTGCAGCTTCAGAATACCAGGAAACCAACAAGGCCCCAAAACTTTGACTTGCAGTTTTCTGATTATTATCTGCTAAGGTGTCCTCCATATTCTAAAGCATGAAAAGTAATACTGTTAAGTAAAATGATCATACTCTTAACACTACTCATAGCTGTAGGGAAACACATTGTTTTGATCCTGTATTATTTGAAGTTGAATAAATGAAATAGCATTTATGTATGTAGATTACATCGATCACTTGGCCACTGTAGAATTGAAAGGCCTTTACTTTAGTATGTAGATGACTACGACTTTTGAGTCCTGCTCTGTACCTACAGCTTGTGGGTAATTGCCTATTTTTAAAGGATTTCATCACATTATAATGATGAATGCTCATTCTGAAAAGTGTAGAATGGTACAGAACCATGTAATCTTCTGGGTTCTTATTCAGCTAGTTTAGTTTGTGTTAAAAGATTATGCTACTTATATATAAGCTGTCTTAAATAAAGTCTTATTAAAGTAAAATTTAGATTGCTCCTAACCATACTGGTTTGAAGATAGCACTGAGGCATTAATTGGTTCTTTTCACTTTTAAGTCTGTATGGATCCGTTTCCTGGTCAATTTCCTTTAATCCCTGTCTGGGAAACTGACCTTATGAGCTTTTATATAAAGTTTGCAGGTACAGTGTTGGTATTGGTTCTGTATTGTTAAATAACTCTTGTCATGATCTCATTGCAGGAGTCTGACGTTTATTACGTCCCAACCAGTGGTCTTTCAGGAGAGAATCTCACCACAAGGAGCAAAGAAGCTGATCTCACTGCCTGGTATACAGGACCATGTCTGCTGGAACAGATAGGTGTGTGTTGGGTGACTGGGATGCCCAGTCACTTCCTAAAAAAGACAACTTGTCAATTGCCTGGTATGAAGATGTCTACAGTATTTTTGGTCAGTGTGCAGCATTGTGATTAACTGCTTATCTTTAGCCACAAATGTCAAAACATTTATATAACTGGACAGAGAAAAAGGTTTGTATATAAACTGTGATTTTCTGTCAGTTAACCCAAGCATGAAACCGCATGTAACGGCAACATTGTGGCATCCTTAGCCTACATTAGCTCACAAAGGGAAAAATCAGTTCTTGAAAGAACACAATGCTGATAAAATAATCACCACCAATGTTTTTTTCCTATTGTTGTGCAAACAAGAGCGTAAGTTTCAAATATTTAAAAGTATAGAATTCATAGCTAATGAAGTAGAAGTACAATAATGCAAGTACAATAATAAAAATAATAATAGTTTGTATAAATTGCCTTTCGTTTTGTTTTTAATCTTCCAAAAAAAATCCCACACTTTTTGAATATTTGTGACTTCTGCATTGAAGGGAAATTCCGTCAATTTTTCAAAATGACTTGCATAATTAAATGGTTAAGATGTAAACAAAGTCATGTAAAGTGTTTTGATGTGAAATGCTCTCTTCTAGTGAAACATGTCCAATCAGATTTGTTCGCAGTGGTGGTGATAAGAACCAGACGTCCAAAGCATTTAATACCTCTAAAAGCTCCTTCACAGAAAGTTATGAAATGAAATGGTCAGAAATACGCTGCCTGATGCCGAAGATGTTGTTTTATAATAGTTTTGAGAGAACTTTTTTTGTATATATTCATGACGGAGAGGTACATGCAGGGTGTAAGGCAAAATAGTCCCAAAGAAAACTTTCAATTTCAGATTCACTACTATAGTCAATGTTACATATAATAACTCAGAAGACACATGTAGGTTCACTGGTGGATTTGGATAGTAAATGAAATTTTTATATTTAATATATTGAATTCCTCTTGGATGTAAAATGGCCACTGTAGGTTGGTTACCAATTATCCATGCATTCTAAGTAGGCGATTTTGCCATATACTAGTTGCCATATAAATAATTAACAATGTAATTGGGTTTTTTTGTTTACTGTCTACTACTATAAAAGAAGAAGCCTAAAATGGTGAAATTTGCTGATTAGCTGTCTTGCTGTTGATATGTAGTAGTTTCCTACTGATGACAAACACGGCTCAAATAAATAAACAGTACTCGTTGCTGCCCTCTAAATGTGTTACAGCACCAGCCAAAATTGGAACTTTTGTTTTTGTAAAGTGCTTTCAGCTTGCTTTCTTACAAGAAGACAGAACTACACTCAAATAATGCCAACATTTCATGTTGGTAATAATGTTGGTTATCACATTCCTGTGAACCATAATGTCACCGTGATTGTCGATGGCATCGGGTAAACGGGTAAAAGGGCAGATTTTTGCTGCAGCAAGCGTGTGCACAAATGATGATAATCTATGTAGTACAGATTTTCACACCAGCAGGTGTTTATATTACTGTGACTCAAACGCTGATGAGGCAAACAGAGAATCTTGCTCTCTTTCTGTCTGTCTCTCTCTCGCTCTCTCTTTCTCTCTCTCACACACACTTCAAAGTGGTGTAAAAATAGGAATTTTGTCTAAAGTTAATAATATAGTTGGTTAAAAAAATGGTAAGAAATGATTGAAGGGAATTTTTGTTTGATGCTTTAAGTCGCTTTTTGTACACCCTTGTGCCCACCCTCTATATGTCTTCCTTTTTCTTTTTCTCTCCTGGCAGACTCATTTAAAGCCCCTCAGAGATCAGTGGAGAAGCCCTTCAGACTTTGTGTCTCAGATGTCTTTAAAGGTTAGCCTACTATAAAACTGACAAGCTTTACAAAACCGACATCTGTCCCACATGTACCATTTATTCTTGGCCTTGATTGCAGTAAAAGGAATGGCTTTTCATTGATGTGCAGACACAGATGATGTAGTTGCTGTGACTTTCCTTGACATGTTCTGCGGATCCGCTTAAACCAGAATTGAGTGCGAGGTGCTGGAACTGGGTATATTTACTGATGGACAGATTGCAGACCAATCAAGACGCGCCAACGTTAATTACAGGCTTACAGAATACAGTTAAGACAACAAATTAGTGGTCTAGATTTTGGAGCAAGCATGCCTATAGCTTCTGAATGCTAAGACTGGCCACTTGAAACTTGGTATAGAATGACGGAATTTTTCTGTACTCAGTACCATGAAGGTATTACATTTCAGTATCCTGCCCTATACATGCATCATGAGTGACTGCTACACTAGCACATTGCTACATAGGTAAAACAGACAGTATTTTTCCTTTATATTTATATTTTAATGTTTAGTCAACAGGCGGTCTTCCCATCGCACATCCCGCACACACTGCTTATTCCTTCAGTTGCAATCAGGAAGAGCTAGCACATCTTGAAGGCTGTCTAACTGATTTGAAATTCAAGTATGTGTATGTGAATATGAGTGAACTGGTGTATATGTAACAGTGTAACTGTGCTCAGATCAGGGTTCTGGGTTCTGTGTGACGGGAAAGATTGAAGCTGGGTTCATTCAGACTGGAGACAAAGTGCTGGCCATGCCACCCAATGAGACCTGCACTGTGAAAGGTAATGCAAAAAAAGATGTATTACTTAAGAACCTCTAGGTTCCTTTTGATATTAATAATGACTTCTTCATTAACATAAAAATAGATTTCTTAAGGCAACTTTGTGGGTTGCCCTTCCTCCATGTAGGCATAGCAAGATGAAAGGTTAGTTCTTCTAAAATAATTACACATTATAGCACTCCGTAAGCTGAACTGCTGGTCTTCTGGCACCTGAGTTTTTAAACTTGCATGTTCTATGTTTGCTAGAAGAGCAAATAGGGTCACAGAATGGCTTTAAAAAAATGTAAGAGTGCCCTCTTCTGGTGGCTTCTGAATAAGACATCTGTATTTCTGTGCAGGTATCACTCTTCATGATGAACCACTAGACTGGGCGGCTGCAGGTGACCACGTTAGTCTGACAGTCACCGGGATGGACATCATAAAGATAAAGTGAGCATCTTTTGTCACCAAGTTGTCTGAGAAGCGATTAATATTTTTGATGCTTATTTTCTTATTTGAATGACCTTTTGTTTACTCTCTCACTCTATCTTTATCTGTCTGTCTGTCTGTCTATCTATCTATGTAGTGTTGGTTGTGTATTCTGCGACCCTAAGGAGCCCATTAAGGCCTGTTCTCGTTTCCGGGCCAGAATTCTGTTGTTCAACATCGAAGTCCCAATAACACAAGGCTTCCCTGTGAGTTCACACAGCTACACTGTGTTTTGTTAGGTTATTTATTATTTAGTACTAAAGTTTTTACTTTTATTACTGTTAAAGTAAAAGTATGTGTGTTTGTTTCTGATTTTCAGGTTCTGTTACACTATCAGACAGTGAGTGAGCCTGCCACCATCAGAAAACTAGTCAGTGTGTTACATAAAAACAGTGGGGAGGTTCTGAAAAAGAAACCAAAGTGAGTTCAGAGTAATAGGATGTTGGGTGACTGTTTGAAAATATTCAGAATGTTCATTGTCTGAATGTTGTGTGTAGGTGTTTGAGTAAGGGCCAGAATGCTGTGGTAGAGATCCAGACACAGAGGCCTGTGGCTTTGGAGCTCTATAAGGACTTTAAAGAACTGGGCCGTTTCATGCTCCGATATGTTGGCTCCACCATTGCTGCTGGAGTGGTCACAGAGGTAAAACTGCTGACTACATGCACACACTTTTTATACAATGTCAGACCATGGGGTCATACATCGCTGAGCCAAAACATTATGACCTGCCCAATGTGCTGTTGGTTTTATGCATGCTGCTAAATCAACTCCAATCTGGAGACATGGACTCTACAAGAGCTCTGAAGGTGCCCTATGGTATCTGGCACCGAAATATTAGCAGCAAATTCTTTAAGTCCTGTAACTTGCGAGGCGGAGCTGCTGCGAGTTAGACCTCTTGTTCCAGCACATCCCACATGCTCAGTTAGATTTAGATCTGGGGAATTTGGTGGCCAGGGCAACACCTTCATGTTCCTCAGATATTCCTGAGTAGTGTATGCAGTGTGGCAGGTTGCGTTATCCTGCTTAAAGAGTCCACTGCCATCGGGGAATAACACTGTCGTGAAGGGGTGTACCTAGTCAACAATTATATTTAGTCGGGTGACATATTAAATTGACGTCCACATGAATGACTGTCCCCAGGGTTTGCCAGCAGAACGTTGCCCAGAGAATCACAGTCCGTCCGCCGGCTTGTCTCCTTCCCACTCTGCATTCTGGGGCTGTCTCTTCCCCAGGACAACAGTGTACTATATGTACTATACCCGGCCATTCCCGTGATGTAAAGGAAAACGAGACTAATCAGACGAGTGTACCTTCTTCCATTACTCTTAGGTCTAGTTCCGATACTTGCATGCCAATTATAGGTGCTTTTGACAGTGGACAGGGGTTAGCATGGGTGTTCTAGCTGGTTTGTGGCTTCACAGCCCCATATGCAGCAGCATGCGATGCATTGTATTTTTGTGACACATTCCACTCATCATAATTAAAAATGTCTGTGTCACAGTAGCTCTTCTGACAGTTTGGATCAGACAAGATTGCCTTTGTTGCCCTCACATATTGTTGTCCTCACACACTCACACAATAGGTACTGTCACTGTCTGTAGGCACTGTACAAGGCTTGCTGTGTATATATATATATATATTCAAATTTTGACTTTAAATTATTTTTATTTATCATCAATTTTTTTTTTTATACCATCAATTTTTTTTTTGACCAGAAATGACACAGGCATCTCCCAGAAGATAATAAAATGAAGTACAAAGGGCATCATTGTGAAAAAAAAAAAATCCTCAGCTTTTATTTACATTTGAACAAAAAGTGGCATGTCCAAAATTATTCATACCCTTCTCAATAATCAACAGAAAAGCCTTTGTTGGCTATTACAGCAATCAAATGCTTCCTATAATTGCTGACCAGCTTTTTGCATGTCTCCACTGGTATTTATGCCCATTCATCTTTAGCAACGAGCTCCAACTCTTTCAGATTGGAGGGTCTCCTTGCCATCACCCTGATCTTTAGCTCCCTCCAAAGATTCTCAATTGGATTCAAGTCAGGACTCTGGCTGGGCCACTGTAAAACGTTAATGTTTTTTGTCCACTAACCATTTCTTCACCACTTTTGCTGTGTGTTTTGGGTCGTTGTTGTGCTGAAATGTCCACTGGTGCCCAAGGCCATGTTTCTCTGCCTGATGTTGTTGTTGAGAATCTTGATGTATTGCTCTTTTTTCATGGTGCCGTTTACTGTGATTAGGTTCCCTGGTCCACTGGCTGAGAAACACCCCCAAATCATTAGGTTCCTACCACCATGTTTGACAGTGGGGATGGTGTTTTTAGGGTTGAAGACTTCTCCTTTTTTACACCAAATGAAGGTGTAAAACAGTTCAATTTTTGTTTCATCTGACCATAAAACAGAAGACCAGAAGTCTTCTTCTTTGTCCAGATGAGCATTTGCAAAGGCCAAGCGGGCTTTTGTGTGCCTTTTCTGGAGAAGTGGCGTTTTCCTTGGTCTGTGTCCGTGGAACCCACTGGTGTGCAGTGTCCGTTGGACTGTCTGCCTTGAGACACCAGCAGAGCCCAGATTCACCAGGATGGCCTTGGTGGTGATCCTTGGATTCTTTTTCACCTCTCCCACTATCCTCCTGGCCAGCACAGGTGTCACTTTTGGCTTCCGACCACGTCCTCTGAGATTTTCCACAGTGCGGAACGTCTTGTATATTTTAATAATACTTTGCACTGTAGCCCCTGGAACTTGAAAACATTTAGATATGGCCTTATAGCCCTTTCCTGACTTGTGAGCAGCCACAATGCGCAGCCGCAGGTCCTTAGTGAGCTCTTTGTCTTAGCCATGACTGTCCACAAACCAACTGCAGAGAGCTGCTGATTTTCACCTGTTGAGTTGATTAAAACAGTTGTTCCCAGTAAATCAGGGTAATTAGGATGCTTTAGACCAGCTTGGACTATTGGAAATGGTATAGAACTTTGGATTTTCCCATAGACTGTGACAGTTTGCAAAGGGTATGAATAATTTTGGACATGCCACTTTTTGTTCAAATGTAAATAAAAGCTGAGGAATATTTTTTTCCACAATGATGCCTCTTGTACTTCATCTTATTATCTTCTGGGAGATGCCTGTGTCATTTACGGTCAAAAAAAAATTGCTGGTTGAATAAAAATAACTAAGTCAAAATTTGCCAGGGGTATGAATAATTTCGGGCACTGTGTGTGTGTGTGTGTGTGTGTGTGTGTATATATATATATATATATATATATATATATATATATATATATAATATATATATATCCCCCTGGTATTGATAATAGAAAGTCAGAATATGGAGACAGGCATGTTATTGAGTGTCAATAAGTATTTCTGTTTGTCATTGTAGATCAAAGAGTAAACTTCAGCAGCACCCAGATCCTTCACACCATGCTGACTGGACGGAGGAGACTCTGAACAGAAGTGCAATTCCACCCAAAACCATACTTATACTCACAGTAACTCATTTCCTCTAATCACATCCTCTTTCTCACCTCGCTCTGCCTATAATATGATACCCAAAGGCTCATGTGCATGCATGGCAGATACCTGCCTGCCCCAAATTCATCACATGCTCCTATTAGTTGCCATTAACACCACAAACAGACTCAGAAACGCATGTATCCACACTTAGTGTGTTTACATTAATCTGTATTCCCTTCCTTTTTTGTCGTTGTTTGCTTCCCTGATAAGCAAACTGAAGAACAGTATTTTGATTGTTTTATTATAATATTTCCCTGTATTTTTATTCAACATGTTAATCTTAATTTGATTAAAACGCTGGGAAAGATAAAGAGCACTTCACCTGTAGCAAGGTGAGAAGTTTTTAGGGTGTATTATTTTGAGGATCTTTGAGTTATTAATTAAGGGCTTTGTTATAAGAGATGTAGGGAATATGGGAAAAAAAATATGCGTTGCTTCAGTCTACAGCTTTCTACATATCCTCTACCGCTGACACTCCTGCAGCTGGTCAGGAATGAACTGCACTATACATAGACTTCTCAGACCTCATCACATTACATCCATTGCAAGAGCTGCACTTATGTGAGAAAAGCTACAATTGTGCTATTAATATCAACAGCAGACTTAAAATGACACTAAAAGGACAAAGACAGCGGGGCAGAGTGAATGAAAGAGACCGAAGAGGAGGAGATGGAAGAATGAAATGCTGGTCAGGGTGCCATCATACAGCAAGCAAAGGAGGAACTGAAGCACAGTACGGTTTCTGTACTGTCTGTGTTGCTTTTGAGCACTGGCAGCTTGGTTACTTGTTGAAAATGTTTTGTTTAAAGCTGAACCACCTGAAAGCTGCTTCAATGAAAAATTAAAAACAAGAAAATGACTGCAGAAACCCTTTTGTCAGCATCTTTAATGGTCTTATATCATCAGTATATCATCCTACTAGCATTTAAACTAGCATTAAAAGCAATACTAAGACTGCATGATATGGACAAAATACCAAAGTTGATATTAGTACGTACTCTAGTTCTATTATTCCTTAAAATATAAAAAGCAAACTGGTGAATCAGTAATGTGACATGGTTAAATATTGGCCTGGATTGTTTTGACCAAAATAATTTACTTTTGTGATTGATATGGATCACAGTACAAAACATTGTGATTGATTAGAGGCCTTGTTTGCATTGCAGCCCTGCAGTATTGTCAAGACCAGTATCACAATATCTGTTAGCAAACAATGTATTGTGCAGCCCTGTGCTGTATTAAAGCCGCAGGTCTGTCAGGTAGACTTTACTTTTCTCTTTCACATTGCTGTATGGCCACGACATTACAGCAAGGGATCTCAGTCAACCTGACATCAAAACTGAGCTTTTCTAACTTGTTAGTTCATCTCTCTGTTCATACTAAAGCATGATTCATGAAATAATTTAAGAGACAAAAAAATCTCGTTCTGTAGTCTTTCATCAAAACGTTACGGCTTTTGCCCATCTCGAAAATGTCTTCTTATTTTTGGTTACATCAACATGCACCAGCAGCTGGGAAAAATATTAACCAATAATGCAATGTTTCACCTCCCCCTCCCACCACCCGACCTGACATGGAGAGAAAACGCTCAGCTAGCTCAGAAACCCTCCCTGTCATTGTGTATCGCTCTGAAAAAACTGCAGTATGGAAGGGAAAAGCATTAGGAATTTCTGTTTTTGTTGACTTCAAGCATTTTTTGCATGTTGCATTTGTAGATCTACAGCACTCTGTGAAAACTAAGTAACATTGAGTTCAGATGTTTTCCTAAAAATCTGTTGGCAGCGATTAGCTTAGTATACTCTCACTGGAGCACCTCTGGCCACTCTGCGTTTTTGCTCTGTCCTGGTTTCTACAAAACCTGTACCAGGTATACGGTTCAGGCATGTGTGGAGCTGAAACAGAGCAAAAATGTTTCTACTCAGGTAATAAGTGTACTGGAAATAAGGCTCCAAAACCAACTGGTTTATGTACAAATGTTGGGGAAAAAAAGAATCACAGAATAGTAGCTAACCGAAAACAAGCAAGCGTCCTTCATAATTAACTTTGCAAAATTGTGATTCTGATAATTTGTCATTTCTCATAATACTTATGTTCCTCAAGCTACATTTTTTATTTTATTTAGGCTCTTTTTAACATTTTGTCTATGACTGTTGTTATATATATAATTTAATGAATATAACAATATATTTAATGAATATAATGAAAATATCATTTTCATGCTTATCTCAAATCATTACAGCCAGTTTAGGTAATTTTATAATGCCATGTATTTTAAAGGTCTGAGTGCTTTTGGCGAGTGTTTAACTCCATCATTTTCTTCCCCAAAAACCTTCTTTTCTTGCTTTCAGAGCTGTGAAAATCTAAATTATTTCAGCCTGTTTTATTTGTTTGTTTGTTTGTTTACTGATATATTTATTTACTTACTAATGCAGTGATGTTCTCTAAAAGTTCTGGTACCATTTTCCATCTTGTATGTCATTTGTACAAAACCATTGAACTTGAAACGGTGCAGTGGCAAGGTTGGCCAATCGGTGACATGCATGTGAGAGTGAACTACCATCAAATCACAGGGGAGGCGGGGTTGGAATATGGGTGGGGAAAAAGGAGGGGTGCAAAACGTTAACTTTGATTGCGAAAGTGTGGTGGCAACTGCAGCTGATATTGAACCAGCTGCAGAGGTGCATTTCGTCCCGACTGCGTAGTGCCTTTATCTTGTAGTGGCACTAATTTTTGCTTTGGGCATCCAAATAAAACCCAGCAGCTGCAGCAATGTCAAACCAGGGTAAACTCGTGCTGGAAAACTACGTTGGTGGAAAGTTCTTGCCATGCAGCAAACACATAGATTCATTCAACCCTTCTACTGGAGAAGTTTATTGCAGAGTGCCGGACAGTGGAGCTGAAGAGGTGAGTGAAGTTTGGCCTGCATATCTGTGATTAGCTTAAATTCACTTGCATGATTTAGCTGGAGTTAGTGTTGCAAACAAGAAACTTATCCATGTGTTTTCTGGAATAGAGTCAAATAACTTTGGAAATTGTAGGAAAGCAGATTAATTAATGAGTAAACTCTGTAGATTGCTGCAGAGTCATGGCTTTGGCCTGCAGGGGCAGCAAGTGCACCTTTGCCCTATCAGACTTTACCATGTCAACAAAGTGATGACTGTGGACACAGCTGATGATTGAACAGCAGCAAGAAACGGCTCAGAGTCCACACTGGAAAAGTAATGCATTGTACTTACCTAATATAAAAGAAAACCACTATTTAATCAGCACATTTACTGTTGTGTTATGGGTAATTTCAGTACAGGACAGCTCTTACTCAGTGGAACTGAGGGGATGGTAATGTGTGTTTGACTCGACATGGTACAATATTTCACAAGCGTTGTTTAATATAAGAGAAATAGGCCTCATTCACTAATATCTTCCTAAGTTTTTTTTTCTCAGATTTGTTCCTGAAAAATGTCCTACAGAAACTACGCCAGATTCATGACGTGTTTGCACCTTTGTGCTCTTGAGTGTGCAGATTCTGTTCTTACCTAAGAACAAATCCTGAATAAGAAAACATTGTCAGAATGTTCATAAAAAACTGTGGGTTTTAAGAAGAAATTTAGCCCATTGTCCATTTTACCACAAACAGTTCTGTTGCACATACAGCATCCAAAACTTCTGTCCACACACTGCTGTGATAATTCACCAGAGATGGGTGAAACCTTCCTGTAAGTACTGTTACTTAAATGAAATAAGGACTTAAACAGAAGTTTCATCTTTTTTTTTCCCCCGAAATGTTTATAATTCAGTCTTTCAGAGTGGTTTGATGTGAAATGAGAAACTTTACAGTGGTGGTGATAGGAACCAGGGGTCATGTCTACAGCACAAATATAGCCATTTCATTTACTATCCAAAACCTTACAACGACCTGTATGTACCTCTCTGAACATAATTTTAGGCCAAAACTGTTGTAAAAAGACGTCTCTGTTATTCTTAATCGTTTGATGCACCAACTTTCTGTGAGGGAGCTTTTCCAATCACCATCACTGTGATTTATGTATGCAGACATTTTAAAAATATGTGGAATTCCCCTTAAAGTAGACATAAACATGGCTTCCAAAAAACATCGTGAGTAAAATGAAAGTTCCAGTAACCTTAAAATTTCTCTAGAACTGCAGTGCACGGATGTCTTAGTACATCCAGCCTAAGAACTGAAGGCTGTTATACTCTTTTCTTTTTGTTATAAAACAATGCCAAAGCTCGAAAAAGAGAGGGATGAGCAACAGCAGCTGAGTATTATTTATTTATTATAGTATTATTATTATTTATTATATTTATTTATTTAATTCAATTGATAAGTCAATAAAGTCATTCTAAGTGGTTTGATGTAAAATGTGCTGTTCTACAAAAACCTTTTTTTTTTTCACAGTGGTGAAAGGAAATGGGCCACAATGTCTATTTGCATCAATGTGTTTAAATCTCAGTGATTTAATTATGCAAAAAATTTGGTGGAATCACCTTCTGATTACAGAGAACTATTCACTAATGAATGTCTGATAATGCAACATCATTGGACATCTTATCTTGTTTGGAGAACTGCCAGTTCTGATGTTGAATTGTTTATGCCTGAATTGGGTCCATACGTTTCCTGTTTTCATAGATATCAGTCATACAGTGTCAGAAGCTGCACCTGCAAGTCTATTTGAGATCACTGTTTCATTTCACATGAAACCACATAAATGACTGTTTACATCTCTGTGTTTTCATTATAGAAAAATGTAGAAAAATTGGTGGAATTCCCCACTAATGACATTTATACTCCACCTCTTAACTGTGTTACTTCACAACACATGCTAAAAAACAAGAGGAGAATCTTCTTGTGGCAAGAATAATTAATAAATGGTAATGAGGTCATTATCATAATGCACGGGTTATTGTGTGTGTAGTCACCGTAAGAACCTTTGCCTGTAGGTGGAGGCTGCAGTGACAGCAGCCAAAGAGGCGTTTCCTAGCTGGTCAGCGAAGAGTCCAGCAGAGAGAGCTCGGCTGCTGAATAAACTGGCTGACTTGCTGGAGGCTCGTCTGGAGGAGTTTGCCCAGGCTGAGTCTAAAGACCAGGGTAAGCCTCAACACTCCACACTATAGCCTGCACAAGCAAGATTAGCTCCATAAACATTAAAGATATGATAAGTATTTTGTATTGTTATATTTTTTTTTACCCAACCTCCTAAAATTAGGGCCAATCGAATCATATTTACGCAGTTTTCCCCTGGCCATAATGAGGTGAGTTATGTTTGGTGTCTGAAGTTTGCTTCTTGCGCTTCAAGGCTAACAATAAGTAATGTTCTGTCGAATACATGGCACTGCAGGCCTGCTGTCAGCACAGGCAAACTGCATTTGAGCCAAAAGTAGGCCACATGTCCTTAAACAGTCCTGGGTCACATCTGGCAGAGAAATGATTGTATGTTGGCTTATGTAGCAATTTTTGTTAAGGGAAAAAAAAAATAGATTTAACACAATCTGTCTCAATACTAGGAACATTACTAAATATCCTACTAATATCATACAACCGAATTAAATTTAAATGATTATGTTTAAAATACGTTTAAAATTATTTGTGGCTGACTTAATTTTCCAGCACCTGGATTCAAGTGAATTCATAACGGTCATCTCATGACGATATGTGGGCCGGATGAAAGTAGTAGGGGAGAGCAGAGCACAACCTAAACCATTTTGTTTTTTGTTCAATAATTTTAAAAATATTGAAGTTGGAATGATCATGTTTTCATACAAACAACATATACATCTCTGCTACAAACAAACACTTGAACTTGTTTATAGCACCTACTGTTCATGTACAATTCCACTAAAAGTGATGGAAAGTGTGATGTTAACTGTAACAGACAGAAGGTTTGCTGTAACACTTGCTAGAAAAGTCTGACAAATTAGTACAAAGTTCAGTATAATTTTATGTTGTTAGAAACAAATATATTTTCCAACCATGCTGCATTACATATTATTTATCTCTAAGCCATACTGACAGATCAATTGATAGATAAACACACACATTAAATTATATGTGAATACTGACTTGAGACTGTGTGTCAATTTATTTGTTGTCCAGTGTAGGACAGCAAAGGAAAATCATGACGCATCAGTAAAATATGGAGCATTGTTTCTGAAGATCTACAGTTTTACCAGCTGTTAACATCAATTCCATTAATATACTTATTTAAAACCAAAATAGTAACATCTGAAAAATACTAATTAAGTCCCTGTTTTCAGATTTTTTTTTTCTTTTCCATCTTAACATCTGTGTAAACATATGGAACAAAAAGACAACATTTATTTTATTTGCCTTTGTTCGCTAAAGGTGACTTAGTTGTAACGCTGTGTAACAGCTAACCCAGCAGTACGGAGGCTGAACTTACGCCTAGCTAGCACTTGCTGTGAGCTTGTCACCTGCTTCAAAACTCTGCTACATTGTCAGCAACAAGATGGTGATTAAAGTAATATAAGGTTGGATTTTGTGATTTACACAAACAGCTATGTAACCGAAAAAATGTGTGTTGAAAAAAATTACCTACATGCCCTGAAAACACTCTTTGGCACAGATCTTAATAAAACACTGATGAATTGCTCTGAATTTTCATGGGAGACTGTGTCTAGGAAATGTGGTAATGTGGCCAGAAGCACACGCTGCTTGACTTTGTTTAACATCGTAAAAAGCCTGTGTTAAATTGTGCCCCGCATTAGTTTGTTCCCCGCACTCCCCTAAAAGTGGGCTTAAACTGGGCCACCACTCTTTTGCTATCTGGGGTGGTTTCTTGTAGAGCAAAAATGACTAAAAGGCTAAAAACCGTAGTAACAATCAGCATAAGCCTGAATTTTTGCCTATATGTTTTTTGTGTTCATAGACTTCAGTATGTCTTATGGTGTCAGAAACCACATTAGCAAGTCTATTTGAGATTACTTAACTGAAATTTGAGTGAAGTTATGACTGTGGCACTATGTTAAAAGCTGCCATTGCTCATTAGCTACGTTAGCCTCGTAGCTCCAGTGCAAAACTAAAGAAGCAAACTTTGAACCACGTCTTGGCTGACTGACTGCAGTTGGAGCAAGGGGAAAATTGAGTAAATTAGATTTTTATGGCTGAACCATCACTTTAAAGCTGTATTTAGGGGTCACTGCTGCTAGGATATCTGCCCTTTTATATCACAGCGGGGCCTGTAAGAATGAGTGTCTGCCCTTTTTGTGCTTAATGATCCAGATTGTTCTCTGCTCTCTTTCCTCCACCTGTTTCTATTTTTGTCTCAGGGAAGACGATAACCGCTGCCCGAAATGTTGATATCCCTCGTGCTGTATATAACTTCAGATACTTCGCCTCATCCATCCTGTACCACACTACAGAATGCAGTCAGATGGACCACATGGGCTGCGTTAATTACACCATCCGCTGCCCGGTGGGAGTGGGTAAGAGTGTGTGAGTGTGTGTGTGTGTGTGTGGTGTGCAGAGAGTCAGAAAGTCATTTCTACATGTACTGCCCTCCAGCTGATTTAATAGAGAGAATGAATGTGATTCTGTCAGTCTGTTGCTGCTCTAATAGGCCTCTAAAGCCATGTTGTCATTCATCTGAATCATCTGAAGATGGCGATTCAACTGCATCAGTTTTGGAATGTTAAAATTGATTACGGTAAAATAATAATAAACAACACAAAGTTTGGAATCATGGTTTAAATGAAGTTCATACTTCACAAGTGTCCAGTAATTAGCAGAATGCTATGAAAAAAAAAAAAAAGATTTGTCCAGAATGATGAACAAAGCTATGGGAATTCTAAAATAACTGACATAGCTGTATAGCACTGAGAAGAGTTATAATAAATTTAACCTTCCAATAAAATATTAATTATAAATGAAACATCTGAAATGACCTTTTAGAGAATATTTTGTATTACTTAAATCTTCATTGTGTTATGCCAAAAATGCAATAAATAAATAAATAAATAATGGCAAATGATTCCAAAGTTTTTGCAAACTTTAAAAGTAATTCTGAATTGGATCAAAATAGGCGAACGACACCTAACTATGTTGAAAATTGAGGTTTTATGATGACTTAAATGGCTTTCTAAAGAATAGTAATTAAATCTTGTCACTGGAGAGTGAGTGTTATGAGATTTCTCCCTCTACATGTGGATATTATATATACGTGAGGATATTATTTATACAGTGAGAGAAAGAGAACCACAATGGGCAGTAATAATGCAGTGATATAACACTGCTGTCTCTCCATAGCTGGTCTGATCAGTCCATGGAACCTGCCCCTGTACCTCCTCACCTGGAAGATTGCACCAGCCGTTGCTCTGGGCAACACTGTGGTGGCTAAGCCCAGTGAGATGACCTCAGTCACCGCCTGGATGATGTGTCAGCTACTGGAGGAGGCCGGTGAGGAGTGTGTGTGTGTGTGTGTGTGTGTGACCTGTAGCTTTGTGCTGTAGCTAGAAAAATTACAATATCAAATGAACTTCTTTCAATTTTGGAATTCCTTTCTCCACACTTTGGAATTCCTTACACTTCTGTTTCTTCTTACTGAACTCCTCTAAAAATGTTCCTTCTGTGTGTGTTGGTGTGTGTTCAGGTTTTCCACCTGGTGTGGTCAACATCGTGTTTGGGACTGGTCCGCGTGCGGGTGATGCTCTGGTGGCCCACCCTGATGTGCCTTTAATATCATTCACCGGCAGCACAGCTACAGCCAGAGTAATAACAGAGCGCAGCGCCCCCTACTGTAAGAAGCTCTCGCTGGAACTTGGTGGCAAAAACCCTGCTGTTGTATTCGCTGATGCTGACCTGGAGGAGTGCATCAGAACCACCGTGCGCTCCAGCTTCTCCAATCAGGTGAGCCCTTTCACTCAACTCAGCTCAGACACACAGCTCACACTGACTCTCAGAGCCACTGATTAGCTCGCTGTCATTTCAGGCATCAGAAGAGCCAGGGGTATTCCACTGACTTTTAAAGGGGAATTCCACTGACTTTTCAAAATTTTTGCCTAATTTGGTTGTTTAGATGTAAACAAAGTCATTCAGATTGGTTTGATGTGAAATACTGTAAGTGTTGTAGAGAAACTTGCGGTCAGATTTTTTTTTACAGTGGTGGTGATAGGAACTGAGAGTCTGTGTCTACAACACACACATATATATATATATATATATATATATATATATATATATATATATATATATATATATATATATATATATATATACTCAGAAGATATGTATAAGTTCACTGGCGATTTTTCATATATATATATATATATATATATATATATATATATACTCAGAAGATATGTATAAGTTCACTGGCGATTTTACATATACACTCACACATATATATATATATATATATATATATATATATAAATAAATAAATAAATAAATCTCAAAATGTCTGTGAACCTCTGAAACAGTAATTTGAAGAAATAACGTGTAAATAACAATAACTGTCAAGAGACACTCACTTGATCGGGAATAATTATTGTTGTTTTGTTTGTTTGTTTGTTTCTGTGTTTGAATGCTCTGTTTGCTGTTCTTGTCATGTTCTGTTAAATTGAAGTGACAATTTAAAAAAAAAAAATCAGTTACCTGACTATAAAATACACTGCCACGTGGAGGCGCTCATGCTCCATCAGTCCTACATCACCCCTCTCTTCTCTCTGGCAGGGAGAGATCTGTCTGTGTACCAGCAGGATCTTTATTGAGCGGAGTATTTACCCACAGTTCCTGGCAAAGTTTGTGGACGCGGCTCGACAGTGGAAAACTGGCGTGCCCTCTGACCCCTCCAACAACAACGGTGCACTAGTGAGCAAGGAGCACTTGGAGAAGGTCAGACAATGCAATATTACAGCATTATCACTCTTATCGGTGTTACATACACATGTCAGGTTGTTCTCAGCAGCAGGAAGGCTGAAATGTTATAGAATGAGTTTAGAGCTGTGAGGTCAACATGACATTTGTATATAAAATTATATTACAGTTATATCTGATTAGTCCTTATACAGTCATATGCAAAAGTTTGGAACCCCTGGTTAAATTACTTGTTTTGTTGATTAAGTAAAATATATTAGCACAAGTAAAATATATTAGCAACCCAATGGGGAACTGTAAAGCACAATTTTTATTTATTCGCTGAAAAAAAACAACAAATAGAAAAATGTGCCATAACTTTTGCACGGGCCACATTTGATGTTTATTTTTTCCCCAGTGTGTTAAATTCAATAAATAAACAGTAATTGTGCAATTTAAAATGTGCAGAAGTGTGTTCTCCGTAGAGGATGTGTAACTTATTAGAAGAAATATTAGAAAATCAACAAAATGTCATTCGACCAGGGGCACCCAAACTTTTCCATGCAAGATTTATTACAGTTATATAAGTTCAGACATATAATTGCTGTCAGATCAAGAGCTCGTAACATTTATTTTAACGTATAATTTTCATTTCAAAACGCCAGCTTTCTTATTTGGACAAATAGAAATGGTCCAGAAGTACTTGTTATAAAATTGCATTGATATACACTAAAGTTAAGAACGGTTATTCCTTCTCTTATATATTTCTTCTCCTCCTTGATAAATAGATGGAGAATTTATTAATTGGATAGGAAACTCAAGAGACAGTTGCAGCAACAGAACTGTTCAAATCATCTATAATTTGATGCTGTTATATTAATATCTGGGATCTGTTTCAATATGATGTTTGCCACACCCTCAGCAACTTCGATTTAGAAGTGTCATACCCAAAGAATTTGTAGAGAGGAGAATCGCCACTCGGTAATGTCTTTATGGTTTGTCAAACACTAGAGGGCACTCCAGAGTCAGTCCAAAATGAATGGGTTAATATGGGGCATTTTACACATTTAAACATTTTTCTGTAGAAAAATGCACTCATTTCGTGATCACAGAACAGCATAAAACACTGCAGTTATATTTTTGAACTCCAGTTTTAGGAGTTTATAAAGGAGCTTCTTGTATGTCCGTGTACTAAGCCATGACACTGGCCAGTCAACACTCAGTAGCAGTAACTCTAGTGTTCTACTGCTCAAAACCTGTTTACTGTAGAAAAAAAGAACTGTACAGGTAAGTGTTCCTTGTTTTTTTAGTGAAATACGACCTTCTACTTTTTAAACTTAAAGGGAGGTCCAGGACAAGTGGTGAGAAATTATTTTAACTCTTCGTTTTTAGCCGTTTAGCTCCATTTGTCCCCATTCATTTAGGACTTGCACGCTAGTGCCTTCTGGCATTTTTGGTCATATTTTTGATATAATGGGAAGAATAGGAGGTGGCCAGGATCCCCATAAACTGGCTCTGGTCATACCTACATTACAGAAGTGGCCAACTCAGCACCAAAGGAGGATGAGGAAGTGAGGAGTGTTTTTTTTCATCCAGAGCGGACTCGCCCTCCACTAGGTTAGCCTCAGGGAGCTGATATTCTAGCAATGCAAACTTTTTTTTGAGATACTGTATGCACATTTTGTGAAGAATTACCTTTTCTAGTTCTAAGCTTTGCTTTAAGCTTTTGATGTAGTAAAAATAGAAATGATTCATATACAGACAGATGCTTTCAAACACTAACCAGACAAAGGCGAGTGTGTGTAAAGCACTTTTCTGAGCTTGGCAAAAATGGTGTCATACATACTTGAATGTTTTTTTACATTCAAGCTCATCTGTGGCCGTCAGAAGGTGCTGGAATTTGGTAATTACAAGCCATTTACACTGTCACTGTTAGCTGAGGAGCTGCAGAGCCCTTTAGGTTGAAGCCTGAGACCACAGCACCGCCTGAAGTGGCTGACTGAGGGAGGGGCACCGTAGGTAGTGAGCACAGAAAGCCAGCTAATGGCCAGCAGCTAACCCCAAGAGACTGGCTTTTCCTTGCACTCTCTTTCCCCTCTTTAACTCATTACATTCTGATGTCCTTCAACATCAAACTGATCTTGCCTCAGACTGCAACTCACTACATGGGAGGTCAGGGGCTTGTTTTGCACTGTATGTATGTTGCATTATCTGTGTTTATTTTTGGCATACTTGTACAAAGGTAATAACAAAATTAATACAATAAGAACAATTTCAACCAGTATGTGAATCACTGTATCACCCACAACTGTTGCAATCTATTGCCTTTATTTTTGTTGGTGCTATCTGCATAGCCTTTAGCTTGCTAGTGGGCAAGCTAGAGTGTAAAGTGTTTTATTGCTAGGGCTTGTAAACAGCTTGGCCAGCCATTGTTTTGGAATTTAAAAAGGGAATTCTGACAGATCGCAGTGATTTCTGGGCAAGTTCTGATACTGAAAGTCGACTTTTGTGTGCACTTGATCCCTAGCCCCTCTGAGGGAATCGTATTTGAGCTATAGTAATGGAACAGCCCTTAAGATAGAATTAGGGGTTCCCCCTGAAGAGTATTGGGTTTCTTTTTTTTCCCCCATATGCTTGAAAATGCCAGCTTCACTTTACATTGTGTGTAAATCAATGCAATAGAAAACGTCATCACAAAATTACTCTTTGTTAAATCTCATTACATTAGCATATGTTACGTTTAAGTATGATTTTTTTCCCTTGTCCTATTAAGTTACTGTTTTGGTGATATGAGGTTTTTGTTATGACAACGGCAATATTCAAAGGTGCTACACTGTTTACTGATACTGGTACTGATCTTTCTTGTGAAAGCATGCAGAAAATAGCTTGGTTAATGTTAAGCTTGGCAGACCTTTGAATTCCAGTTTACTCTCACAACTTTCGTTTTAACTTTGGCTCCCTTTTTTCAGGTCAGAGGCTATGTGTCGTTGGCACGGGCAGAGGGAGCCCAGGTGCATTGTGGGGAGGGTGTCGACACTCTTAACTTGCCACCGCAAAATGCGGGTGGTTATTTTATGCTGCCCACCGTCATCACCGGGGTAAAAGACTCCTCCCGAGTGATGCAGGAAGAGATATTCGGCCCTGTCACCTGCCTGACCCCCTTTGACCAGGAAGAAGAAGCGATAGCAAGGGCTAACGGCGTGCGCTATGGCCTGGCAGCCACGGTGTGGTCGCGGGACGTGGGGCGAGTGCACCGGGTTGCTAGGCAACTGCAGGCTGGGATGGTGTGGACCAATTGCTGGATGATCAGAGATTTGAACCTCCCGTTCGGGGGCATGAAGTGTTCAGGCATCGGGAGAGAAGGAGGGAAAGACTCCTATCACTTCTTCACGGAGGTCAAGAGTATCACAGTCAAACACTGAGTTACTGCCAGCACAAATACCTTGTAGCTCCACCTGGCTGGTGTACAGTTAGAGACTGTAGCTTATCTGTTAAATGCTTTTTTGTGTCTACACAGTTTCTGACCACAGATCTGCTCTTGGCTGGATAGTTGGGTGGTGGTCCACTCTCAGTCTAGCAGTGACACTGATGAATGTGAAAACTTGTCCCAGCACCACACACACTACCATGTCAATGTCACTGCTATGCTGAGAATGATCCACTACCCAAATAATATCTGGACAGCAGTGGTCCTGGGGTCAAAAACTGACCAACAATGAATGGGAATGGGATGAGAGAGAGAGGAGAAAATCAAGCTCCACTCTTGCTTAACATCTGAAAAACTGTGCATGACAACAGGGATGCTATAGTTTGTAACTGTCCACCTATATAGGGATCCAACAAGGTAAGGGAAGCTTATAAAATGGCCAATGAATGTTCCTAATAAAGTGGCCCATAAGTAGAAGTATTCTCACTGGTCACTTTATTAGGTACAGTCCTGTGCAAAACTGAGACAGCACCATAAACTTTATTTAATTTCCAGTCAAAATGACCAATAAATACAGGATATTTATTTTCAGCATCAGGAAATATGTATTTAACAGGAAATTACACAGAAGCCCCAACAACTAAATCTAATATCACATTTGTATGTATTTTGTGTTTGTCCACTCTTTGCCTTTATTACAGCTTCGGTTGTTTAAATGAAAAGTTTTGGAAACTCCTGTTTTTCACTTATTGTCCTGTGACTTTCTCCTTCCTTATGCAAGTGGATTATTTTATATCGAATCTCTTCAGAAATATCTCCTGAAAAATGAATGACTTCTTCTTAATGGCCAATTTGACTTGAAGATTAATAAATGAAAGGTGGTCTTTGACTTTTGCAAGGTAATAAAGTAGCCAGTAGGTATACAATATATTTACCAAACTGTAAATCATTAAGGTTATTAATCACAGCAAGCTAGATGTAAATGTTTCCACCTACCCTTCGCATTCCTTTAATATTGACATTAGCTTTTATAAGTGCTACTTTACACTCATGAACGCACACCCGTGTCATGTAGAGCTGTAATTCGATTGGCCTGCTATCATTTTCCCATGGCCTTGATCTGATTTGGAGTGTGTGTTGGCAGTTTTGCAGAGTGTGGCAAATGACTTTTACATACACACACACCATTTTCTGTAGAAGCCCACAGTCATCCTGTGCTTCGCTGTAACAGAATGTTCTGTGTGTGTGCATCAGCCCCTGCTGCTGTTCCACTGTTCCCCTCACGCTGTCCACACAACAATCTGACTTGCCACATCGCATCACACACTGGTCCAAGTAACAAACTCCAGAAAATTAGTCTGGCCGTTCACTTCATCTTCATGCACTGTTCTGAGGATCCAGAAAGCACAACAGTGCGTGAAAGAAACAAAAACAATGTAGACATTTTCTCTGATTATGAGAAATGTTTTAGAGAATTGGATATGTGTTTCAGAAACTCTACACTTGACTTGGACTGAGCGACTGGAGCTTGTAATGAGCCCAACAGGACCTGATTGCTCATGTTTGGTTTGGTTGGCAGAGATGAAGACCAGTGGGGTCACTGACCTGGGGCCTCTGACTCTCATAGGCATCAGACCACAAATAGCTCAAATACTTGGGACAGTCTCCTGCAGATACAAACATTAGATTAACAAACAGCTATTGAATGTCTGTTGAAGAAACTAAATAATTATAAGAATTGAAGAAGTTTTATCTGCTGTCAGCCCAGTTTTATATTATCGACTCATGGGGTTTCTGTTGTTGCACTTTAAATGAGATGTTTCAGATGGTGCAGTGATAGTGGTGATAGTGTTTACACTTTCATGTGCGCAGTATCATTGCATATTGCATTATCAGTTTGGCCTTAAAGAAAATGGGAAGAAATCATGATCACCAACAATTCCTGTTGCTCAGTAAAGTCACATACATACATTATCTCCCACTCATTGCTCGCTAGCAGCTCAACATTCACAACATTTCACACAGAGAAAAAGGTGTCCTTGTTAGTCTGATAACAGAATTAAAAATAATTAATATATAAATAAAAATTAAGTTGAATTAATTGGGAGATGGCCACTAGGAAGCCTGCAGAAAAAGTTTAATGAATAAATGTTTTTGTTATGTGTTATTGTTTATAGTTTGGGGGGCCTCTGATGATCTCTTCCTGTTGGAGATGTGGGAAATAAACTGCGCATTATGGAAGGTTTGTGCAGATTAAAAATGTTGGGATGTTGTTAGAAAGCATTGCCTAAATAAATAATTTTTTAAAGCAGAATTTAACTGTAATTTTAGACAGTTGATTTTTTATTTATCACATTGTTATTTTTTCTATGGTGGCTATTAGTTATCGGTGCTATGTGGAAGTTTAATAGCGTAGTCTGGTCAGGTTTTATTTGGCACTTTGGCTGACGATGGGCCGAATTGGGTTCCGGAGACTCTGGTCAGTTTGTGACTCAAAACTTGATGATGGATCAGGTTGGGTTAGGTTTGCAAGTTTGTCAGTTTCAGGTTGAGTTTAAAACCTAATAGATGTTCATGGCAAGTTGGGATTAATCTGAAAGTTCTTGGGCTGTATTTGTGTGTGGACCAACAATGACTGATTACTGAGGACAATAATTTCCCTAAGTTATAGCCCAGACTGCTTTTGCAACAACAAGAGGTCATTTAAGGCCTCATATTCTGCATTTTCTTTGGTCCATTTATGATGTTTGTGTGGTTTTGTGTACCCAAAACAGTCATAAGCCATTTTTCCATGACCGTTTACCAACCTCTCTTTATCCCTCAAAATGAAACAGGCTGCTTTTGCTACTGTGTCTTTAGGACTGATATATGTAAATGGGCTCTGTTCTGATTAGTTGCCATTTTGTGACTCATTCAAAAAGCAGTCCAGGCTGAAACACTCGTTAGAACTTTAACATAAGTGAGAGGAACTAAACTGCTATAGGCTGAATAGCCAGATATGTGTAATTGCAATGGTTTTCATGACCTCTGTGGGTTGTTTTAGCAGCTTAGTTGCCTTATGTGGACTGTATAGAGTTGGAAGTGAATGATAAGTTTTAAATAAACAATGTTTAAGTACTACATCAAACCTTTTTGTTTTAAACTGGTGAGGAAAATTCAGTTTCTGTGAAATAGGCCCCTCAAAACACTCTCATAATAGAAGACAATGGAAAGCTTCCAGCATCTGCCCACTGATTTCTACTATGAGTATTTTTTGAATTAACTGGTTTTCTGTTCTGGTTTTCTCAAAACTATTGCACAAGATAATAGACCATATGCAACAGATTCAGCAGATAAGGATTTGAACAACACTGAACTATTACTTTAACTGAAGTCTCTTCAGGCCCTCAATAGCTGTAAAATAAGCAAACAGTGAGTGGAAAGTCATGTGAAGTTTGCAGGTTTGGATTGAGGACATGAATGGTGCAAAAAGGAAGTTTTAAACTTCAGTATGAACATAAAAAATAAAACATCTGGCTACAAAAGACTTTGTGAGGTGTGGTGGATTGGCACGACGCAGAGAGAGTGAATATTGTGTTAATGAAAGAGGCATTACAGCGTCTGGGAGGAAGGCTGCTTTAAGAAAGCAGAAAAAACATTGAAGGAAACGTGTAAATGTGGTCAGTCACGTCCCTCCGTCATTCAATCAAAACGCTCAGAGGCCCACTGCCTCCACACCCAGCTCAGAGTAAGCTTTTATTTTGACTTGATTGCAGGCGATGCCCACAGCATTCCAAACACACACAAAGTACACGTAAAGTCTGGACACATCTACTCATTTTCTTTATTGATACCGTTTTCCACATTTTTGAGTAATGATGAAGACATCAGAAGTATTCAGTGACCAAAAAACGGCCCATATCCTACATTTTCTGGTATGTTATTGTTTTCGCTGAGGTCCACTTTTGCAAGGTTTTACTTACATAAAAAAGTCATAATTCCTTTTTTCAAAGCCATTTTCGACATCTCTTTGTCCATTAGAATTAAACAGACTTCTTACTGTGCCTTTAGGAATGATATACAGTATGTAAAGGCTTGAACAGCCCCAGTCAAATGACATGTATTGTTGATTTTCTAAGTGAAAATAAGTTAGCACATACTCTACAGAGAACACACTTAAATATGGCATTTTTCTGCTAATTTTAGTGCAAACATTTACAGTTTATTTGCTGAATTTAACATATTGGAGAAAATAAAGTAGAAAATATTAAATCTGTCATAACTTTTACACAGGCACATTTGTTCCAATTTGTTAAATTCAGCAAATAAACAGTAATTGTGCAGTAAAATGTGTAGAAGTGTGCTTCTTTGTGGAGGTTGGTTCACTTATTTTCATAAAAAATCAACGAAATGCCATTGGATCACAGGTGCCAAAACTTCTGCATATGACTGTGTGTAAATGACCTCTGCTCTGTTTGTAAGCACTGTATTGTGGCTCATTTAAAAAAACAGTCCAAACTCTAGGCTGACTAGGTGGATATATGTAGATGCATACGTTTTTTGTGACATCACAAAAACAGTGAATTCAAACTGGGCCATTTTTACAGCTTATCTTTCGTATGTGCACCCTACAAACTGGGAAGCAAACCTTATGGGAAACTAACAATGTTCACATACCACTTTTTTCCATGATATGGTCTCTTTAATCAAAGCCTTTTACTATTTTAGATACCCTGTTTGCCTTGATGCAGCTTTGCGTAGCCTTGCCATTATCTTAAGCAGTTTCATGAGGAGTGATCCAAATTGCTTTTCCAACAGGATTGAAGAAGTTCCATACATGCTGAGAATTATTTTATTTTGTACATAAAGTCATATATAGGCGTGAGCTTCATTATTTGTATTTCCATTTGAAACTAATTTCAAGCATTAGGCCTCAGCTTAACATAACATGCATTCAATCACATGTGTCCAAACTTTCCTGTGATACTGCACACACACACACACTTGTTGGAAAGCCAGGGGTTATTTCCCTTGGCTGAAGGCCTGCTCATGCTCCTGTGTTGCTATGTGCTCGCGTGCCGAAGCCGTGTGCGAGGGCTCCGTTATCGCGGCTGGACGTGCAGAACCAGGCCTTGCCGATTGGCTGCTGAGTCAGCGGCCCACCACCGGAAACCCCTCAGTCCAGGCCTGGGGTATCAGCACAGCCTGTCAGCCTTTTCAACTCCTGCTTCAGTTCAGCCACCTTGCTCAGGCTCTAAACACAATAGATGCCTGATAGAGAAAGAGAGTCAGGATAACTCTGCCTCTTCTCAGTTACGTTAAAGGGAGAGTTCATTCATCTGAAAGAGACTTGCTCATGCAGTTAAAGCATTGTACAAAAATGTAATAAAAAACAAAAAATTTGGGAGTATGTTGCATTGCCAAAATCAGCAGTAGCCGTCTTCTTGACATGAAATACATTTTGTCTGTACTTTTGTTCAGTACAGTGTTTCGTACAGTGTTACAAACCACATGAGCAAGTGTATTTGAGGTTACTTAAAAGCTCAACACTGAGGCGAATGTGTGATGATTTAGACATAGAGCTTGCAGAAATTGGTGTATGTTAGTTTCTACTGCTTTTTAGCTACTTTAACATCATAGCTATAAAATGCTATTTCTGCCTGTTTTTGAGCTCCTTCTGTTTTTTGCATCATGAGAGATTTTCAATAACATTGATGAAATATGTTTCAATGGAAATGTGTATGATGTACAAAATTAGGGGTGAACTGCATTTTCATCTTTGTAGGTGAGCGAGCAAATCAAGTGTTTCTATTGTATTTAAATGCCATTTTATTGTGGCAATTGTACATGATTGTTTGAAGAAAGCTGCAGTTTTGCTGTCAGTTTTATCTTGGCATGGCTGTCTTTGTGGAAAGCCTTGAATTGTTTTCACAGCAGGGGGTTCTCACCTCTCCCTTTTCACCCTTAATTGCTCGCTAGCAGCTCAACACAACATTTCACATACAGAGAGCCAACAGTGTCCTAGTTAATCTGGCAACAGACAATCTGGATTTGCAGGGGAAAATATTTTATTTGATCATATTTAATAAAAATATCTGGGGTTGCTTTCCATTCCACCTGTTGAATGGCTGCTAGAGGGCCACAGTCATTTATAGAACAGGGATAAACAATATTGGCCATGTGAAGCACCAAAAACTCTTTGAGTATGAATAGCTCCCCCTTGTGGAGAATGTTCAGTCTGCTGAAAGTGAGTGAGTAAGTAAAAGTGTAAAAGAGTGGTTTCAAGCAAAATCCTATCATGCTGTCAGTATAATATCAAACTGAGGGCCACTATCATGTATAGAATAAGGACAAAATGTATTGGGGATGTAAAGGACCAAAAACTATTTGAGTGTGAATAGCTCCCCCTTTTGGAGAATGTTCAGCCTGCTAAAAGTGAGTGAGTAAGTAAATATGAGAACGAGTGCTTTACAAGCAACAGACTGTCATGTTGTCAGTGTAATATCAAACTCCTAAACAACAATTACTACCAAATGTCTTCACTAGTGCACCATATTGTGCTCAAACAAGCTGTCATGCAAAGTCTTACACAAGGTCTCACTAGTTTACATTTTTTTAGCCATATGTGTGACATGTGCAAGCTATACACCATGATCCACTCATTATACATGTGTGACTTGGGATCCTTTAATGTCTTCACAGCCTTAGTGTCAGAAACAGGTGTGTGTGGGCGTTTGTGAGCAAATATAGCGTGAGAACGGGACAGCAGGTCAGCATTAGCCTGCTCTAATGCTCCTCTGTGGGCTCTGCAGGGTGGAGGGAGAACTAATGGCCAAGTGGCATATCGCTGACTCCTGTGAAAACGCTTTCAGACTAGGTTAAACAAACGCAGAGCAAGAAAAGCCAGAGAGAGAGGAAAATGAATGGAGGGTAAGCACTGCCCTCGTTCTTTTCCTTTTTCTTGTGTGTATGGCCTGGGAAGTACATGGTGGAAGATCACGTAGCCAGTGAAACTCTCTGCAGAGGGCAGGGCCCTGTGTGTGTGTGTATGTGTGCCAACAGCACCCAGCCCATCCGCTCGCTGTGTGAAGAGTGGATGGGGCCTCCAAGTGCTCTGATCTGAGTAGCTTCTGAGGCCACTTTATTGGTTAATAGCAGTTTGCAATTACATTATATAGTCAAAAGTATGTAGACATCTACTCTTTCACTGATTTTTCAGCATTTCTGCATAATGCAGTGCCTATAAACAGTCAGTGGTTTGATGTAAAATGGTTAATTGTAGAGAAACTCATTTAGATTTCTTTACAGTGGTGCTGATAGGAACCAGAATTCACAATATCAACAATGCAAATACAACCATTTTCTTTACTATCCAAGCTGACCAGTGAACACACACATCTTCTGAGTTTTTATACATAATGTTGATAATGCTAAAATAGAAGTAAATTTAGAGTTTTATTTTGGCACTTCTTTGCCTTACAGCAGTCTAAGCCATAAATGTGTTTTAAATATGTATGTTTTAGGCCAAAGCTTTATCTCAAAGCTATTGTAAAATGATTATTATACAATATGAGAGTGCGCAATTGAACACTTGTCAGTATTTCATTTAAATGTATTGTTATTCTATCTGCTTATATTAGGGCTGTACAGCCTATTGTTTGATATTGTCTATATTATCCTGATATTGGCTTTCACAGCACTCACATGATCCAACAAATGTAAATAATGTTGGTCTTTAACTACATAAAAGTTTATCAAAGGTTATCAAAGGTTCACTAATGTGTTTTTAATGCATCAAAAGCTATATTGCAATAGTATTGTGTAGCAGTCATAGAGTGATACTTACCTCATTGCAAAAAATGGTATCTTAGCCACTGAAATTGTCCTAAATCTAGTCAATATATTGAATATTTCTCTTAGCTATTTAAGCTTATTTATTTGTAGATTTTTTTTTACTTGTTTTGAGTAATTTTATTAAGGGAAATGATCTCACTGTATTGACAGATAATTTTGCTCATTTTATAGTCAATATAGTGAGATCATTTGACTTAATAAAATTACTTAAAACTAGTAAACCTTATGAAAATAAGTTAAATTATGTTTTAATAAGCTTGTAACAATCTAAAAATGAGAAATATTAGCTATATTGACTAGATTTAATATCATTTCATTTGATTTTACAGTGCTCCATTTGGGAATACTTAATGTGGGTAAATGTTTGACATGTTAAAATATCACAATGTTTATCATCAAAACATTAAACGGTACAATGTAACCTTATCATAGTACAGGGGTCGGCAACCCAAATGTTAAGAAGAGCCATTTTGGCCTTTCAACAAAAATCAAACCATCTTGAGATCCCCAACATTTTATGTCCATTTTACCATCTTGGCTGTAAATATGTCTCAGTATGTGCTAATGCACTAGTATAGGATAAAAAATATAATACAAACAAAACGCAGATCTGCTTTAAGCTTTAGCTCAGCTATAGCTGCTTTTTCTCACATCTCCGGCAGGAAACTTTTCCACATAAGTAGAATAGTTTCTTGTAAAATGTCTCTCAACGTTCGACCTTTCACAAGGCTGAGGTCAGTTAACGTTCCACCTTAAATGGCACCAGAATGTAATAGCGAACAAAAAACTTCAGCTTTGCAAGGTTTTAGTGTTTGACAGTGTCTTGTTACAGATTAAACATTTCAGGAAACCAGCTGGAGTGTTTATAAATGCAAATAACTCAGTTTGTCTTGTCTTAAGTCTCTCTATTTCCCTTTTCATTAGCTACTAGCTAGGCGAGTGTGTTGTCTGCGTTGCTAGGTGACCAGCAGTCTGTGTGCCAATCTTCAGCGTTAAAGGGTAATTTAGCGTTTTACATTAATTCCAGCATTTAAGACTGATTATTGTCAA